CTAGTTATTGTGCAGGAGGCTAGAGAATGCTTCAGTTTTGTATTAGTTTGGGTGTTGGAGTTTTGAACTGATTATAAGTTGAAGACTAGTAAATGTTTTAGTAATGAGTTTTGAAATAATTTGTGTGTTGGAAGCTAGTGAATGTTTCAGTTTTGAGTTAATGATATATTTATGTATGTATATATACATGTGTTGGAATTTTTGTGTTGCAAGCTAGTGAATGTTTCAGTTTTTAGTTGATTCATGTTAATTCATTTTGAATCATATGCATTGCAGGCTAGTTTTGGTTTTGAACTACTTCCATGTGTTTGCTAGCAAATGTTTCAGCTTTAAACTAGTGTATGTGTTAGAGGCTAGTGAATATTTCAGTTCTGAACTAGTTATTGTGTTTGAGGCTTGTAGCTTTCAGCTAGATTATGTTCTGGAGGAACGTCTCAGTATTTAATTAGTGTTGGAGGCTAGTGAGCATGTTTGTTTTGAATTAGTTCATGTGTTGGAGGATAGTGATTGTTTTAGTTTTGTGCTAGATTATGTGTTGGAGGCTAGTAAATGTTTCAGTTTTGAACTAGTTTATGAATTTGGGTTAGTGAATGTTTCAGTTTTCAACTAGTTTATGTGTGAAAGGCTTGTCTTTACCTAGTTATTATGTTGGTAGCTAGCGAATGTCTCAGTTTTGAAATAGTTTTGTGTTGGAGGCAAGTGAATGTTTCAGTTTATAACTAGTTTGTGTTGGAGGGTAGTAACTGTTCCAGTTTTGTTTTGGAAGCTTGTGAATGTTTTAGTTTTGAATTAGTTTGTATTGGAGGTCAGTGAATGTTTCAACTATGAACTAGCGATGTGTTGAAAGCTAGTGAATGTTTTAGTTTTGAATTATTTGGGTTAGAGGCCAGTGAATGCTTTAGATTTGAATTAGTTCATGTGTTGGAGGGTAGTAAATACTTATTTTGTTTGTTGAATGCTAGGGAATGGTTCAGTTTTAACCTATTATATGTGTTGGAAGCTAGTACATTTTTTAGTTTTAAACTAGTTATTGTATTGGAAGTTAATGAATGTTTTAGTTTTGAACTAGTTTATGTTTAAGTTTCCATTTTGAAGAAATTATTGCGTTGTTGGGCAGTTACTGTTTCAGTTTTAAACTAATTATGTGTTAAACTACTAGTGAATGTTTCAGTTTTAACCTATTATATGTGTTGGAAGCTAGTGAATGTTTCGGTTTTGACCTTGAATATGTGTTGGAAGCTAGTGAATGTTTTATTATGAACTAGTGAAATTGTTGGAGGTTAGTGAATATTTCAGTTCTGCACTGTTAGTTGTGAATTAATTGTGCTGGAGTGAATGTTTTAACAGTTTAAGTGTAGGAAGCTTGTGAATATTTCAATTTTAAACTAGTTCTTATGCTGAAGATTATTTAATGTGGCTACCGAACGTTTCAGTTTTGAACTAATATGTGTTGGAGGCTAATGAATATTTCAATGTTTGTGTTTAAGGCTAGTCAATGTTTTAGTTTTCAAATACTTTATGTGTTGGAGGATAGTGATTTTTCAGTTTTGAGCAATTTTCTGTGTTGGAGGCTAGTGAATGTTCCATATTTGAATCAGTTTGTGTTGGAAGCTAGGGGAAGTTTCAGTTTGGAACTAGTAATTGTGTTGGAGGCTACTGAATCTTTTAGTTGTGAACTAGATTATGTGTTGGTTAATGAATGTTTCAGCTTTGAACTAGTTTGTGTTGGAGGCTAGTGAATGATTCAATATCGAACTAGTTTACGTGTTGGAGGCTTGTGAATGTTTCTCTTATGGATTAGTTTATGTGCTGTAGTTTAGTTTAGTTTTTTTTTTTTTTTTTTGGGGGGGTAGTTTATTGGAAGCTAGGGAAGGATTCAGTTTTGAACTAGTTTTCTGTTGGAGGCTGAATGTTTTAATTGTAAACTAATACAGCAATAAAACATCCGTATATAATCCAAAAACAGATTTGATACAGTACTTTTTTATGGATATATTGCTTTATTTTTATTGGCTAAGTAGATAACGTTTTAGTGTTATGTCATTGGTTTGCCAGCTACTTCTGGTACTGCAAATGTCAAGTGCTAGTGACTGATAAAATAGTATGCACGTTCTGTTTTAATTTATATGTTGGCTAGTTCATGGTTCGGCGATACATTATCTTACACTAGTTAGCATTTGAATTCTATATTAGTGTCTATTACTTAGCTAATGATCTGATGATGTATTTTTTACATCACTTATTACTTACTTGATGCTTGGTACTGTATTACTGTCTGTGCTTGTGAATAGTTGGCTACTATTTCATCATTTTATTTGCTTTGGTGTTAATGGCTATTTAGTTTTGGTGCTGAATTAGCTTTGGTGGTTATTGGATACTTAGTACTGTATTAGTTTATTAGTGTGGTTAGTTAGGTAATGATTTGGTGCTGAATTAATTTGCGTGTTAGTGGATATTGAGTTAATGTGCCTTTGTTAGTATACGTGTTGGTGATAGTGTTTTAGTGATATATTAGTCTGTGTTGAATGATTGTATTAGTTACTATATTAGTGGCCTCTCGTTGATGTTTTAGTTATCCATTTGTTTATACTGGGCATTGATGATTATTCAATTAGTGTTTTTGTTCAGTATGAGATTGTGCAATAAAAGTTTGTTCGTTGGTGGTAATGTTTCGGCGTTGTATTAGTTTACCAGTCTGCGGATAGTTACTACAGTGTTGTGTCGTATTAGTTTATATGCCATTTAGAAAATGTTCCTCTATTTATTTATTGTATTAGTGGCAAGGTAATGTATTTGTGCTGTATTTGATGATATGCTGGTTGCTAGTTAGCCAACATTTCGGTGTTGTATTATGTGTAGTGGATGGCGAGTATTATTTTACAACATATTGGTGGCTATTTAGTTAATATTTTGATTAGTGAATGTTTTGGCGTTTCTTGGAGGCTAATTAGGTAATATTAATAAGATGGTGACTAGGTATTTAATATTTCGGTGCTGTATTAGTATATGTATCGGTGACTAGTTAATACATGCTTCATGACTGCATTACTTTCCAGGTTGGTGGCTAGTTAGTTAATGCTTCGGTGCTGTGTTCGTTTCCGTGTTAATCTATGTGTTGGTTGATAGTTACTAAATGTTTTGGTATTGCATAAGTGTGACGATATTATATCCATAGGTCCTGCTTTTGTTCATGTTTTGGTTGGTAGATAATGTCTCGGTGCTTCATTAGCTTATGTACAGCATCTTATTGACTAGTTACAGTTAGGTAATATTTGCGTGTTAGTGGCGATGCCTTTTATGTTTTGTTTTATTTTGTCTGTTGTTGCCCAGTTGATATTTTAATTTTTATGTGCTGGTGGTTGAAGTAATACTTATCTGTGAGTTATTATGATAATGAAAATTCTGTTTTGCTGTTAAATTTGTAAAACTGTCAAAGCATGTGATTTTTCATGTTAAATTATGCGACTAGCCAGCTAGCATTACATCTGTTGCCTTTTGAATTTATATGAATGTTAGTGCATGTCAACTTTTATTTGTTAATTGTTTCCTGGTGGGTTGAGTTTCCTATTTGTCGGTTTGCATTTTTGTACTGGTATTTTTAGCATGAGCAGCTAGTTAAATTATTTGAAGCTTCTATGACAGTTTGTGCAAAATTTTCAAGGTACCAAGTATTTTGCTCCTGGGTGTGACACTTCTAATGATTTAACTAGTGTTAGAATAGTTAGCTAACAATGTAAACTATATTTACTGTCTGTTTGTCTGTAATTGTCATTGTGAATCGGAATTTGTGTCTTTGTGTCGCTATTTCATGCGTCCGGTTCGCTTTGTCCTGTGATTTGATGGTTTATTCGTCTTTGTGTTTTGTTTTATCGATTATTTTGTGCTGCTCTTTTTGTTTGTCATCGGGTAGCCTTTGTTATCAAATAAAGTTGTATGTATGGTCATGTTCGCTGTGTCTTGTTGGCGTGAGTGTTCTTTATTCCTTTTTTTCTTTTGGACATATGCTGCACAGTTGAGTCGGTTTCCAGTTGGTGCATTGTACTACCATTGAATTATTGTTTAAGCGTCATGTATATATTTTCTGTGTGTGTTTGAGTTATTGCCTTACAATATAAAATGTCTAGTTGGGATACACGGACTCAAAGCCAATTTTTTATTTTATGTTTTATGTAAATGTGTCTAATGCCCTGTGTGCTTTGCTACATTTTTATGTGGAACTTTTAAACCACCACCAGGGTAAGCGTTGTTAATTGTTGCCTTTTTCAAGTTTATATGTTCTTGTCTTGTTTATTTGCTGATGTTCTGCTGGTTTATGAATGGTTGTCTTGGTCTAAATGTTATTGTCTTCCTAGTTAATGAGTTGCTGTTTTGCTGGTGTGTGTATTCGTTTTATGTAGATGTTGTTTGCATGTCCTCGAGTCAGTTTATGTCGTTGGCCAGTTTGTTTCTGTTTTTTGGCTCAGACATTTTTCTTATAATTGATGAGGTTGGTATTATATGTATATGATAGAACTTAATGGGTCTGGATTTTCTATCTGTATCAACATGTATTAACATTTATGCTTTCATGTTGTTGTATTGTCTTGTGCTGTAATTACAGTGTTATCAAATATCGCATTATTGTTATACTGCATTGAGGAATGTCGCGACATTGTGTGTTATAGAGCAGTGGTTCTTAAACTGTTTTGTTTTTTCCAGTTGGCAAACAATTCTGTATTAACAAATTAATAGATCATTATACTTTATAAGGAAAGAAAAGATATTTCGAAAAAAAATAATTGTTTTCCACCTTACTTATTAAGAACCACTGTTGTAATGTTTTAACGTGGTATTGTGTATGTGATTCAGAAATCAATTATTGTAACGACGCGATTTAGTAGTAAAATGTTCTGTCAAATTCATGTGAAACAAAATATTGAGCCTATGACAAATTTTATTTTTACTGGAAAATCGTCTGAAGTTGTCAAATGGGAGTGTCACCTACCTGGCGGTTGGTGTAGATGATAATAGCACTGATAAAAGCTGAAAGACGTTCAAAGAGTTCTTCATTCACGGCGGCCTAAATAAACGAACATGCGAAATGATAAATCGTGCTACCTAGCTGTTGAAAACAAGAAAACATGAGCGATATCA